GAATGACATCCATATAAGGAGATATCAGATTCCATATAAGGCCTGAGATACCATATATGGTCACAAATGGCGCTAGTGTGAAATGTGCAATTCCACGTTAAGCAAACTTCGTAGTGTGCGCAATCCCTTAGACACCCGCGTTACCTAACGCATGTGTCAAAAATTCAGCAAAATCTTCTCAAGACCCAGATGTGCTTATTGCTTCTCATCTCGTAAAACATTTGTAAAAATTGACTCTAAATCAATGTAATTCACGTGAGCGTTAAGGTCTGTTTGGACTTTTGTTTAACATTACTTTAGACAATTTTTATTTCCAACTCTTTGGCCAAAAGCATTACTGATGAGTCCTACAAGGACGAAACAGCTTTATGGTGCTGTGTTCATTTTGTGAAGGTTCAATCACTTGTGTGTGTGTAAGGTTCATCTTGTAACGTAGGCGTTCATTCGGTTTGATATGAGGAATGGTAGTGTTAAGCGTAAACAAGTAGTAGGTTTTGATAGAAGAAATAATTTTGAGGACAGTATATGTTCAGGATTGATCAAAATTTCAAACGCAAATCCCCAGTTCTGCAGGGTATTCCCACACAAGTTGCTGGGTGCCGTTTCACGACTCGTACGTAAAGTTACGGGTACCCGTAAACCGTACGAAGTTACTAGTGCACATAAATAAGTTACGGATACCCGTAAGTTACGCCCAAAACCGCACGTAACTTACGCCAACAAATACCTTCCGTAAACCACAGGTAAGTTTACGTTCAGACGTCATAAAAGGAAACAAATTGCAGCCGCATTGTGTCGTGTTAAATAAATAAACTCCAGTTGGCATTACATAGGGGATGAGTGTGTCTAAACCAACAAATCACAAGTAGAGGCCAAAAGTACAGTTTTTTTCCCAATATTTTAATTGGATGGTAACAGCGACGACAATATATTCCATGCATTTCTAGATATATTTCATGATTTTTAATGATGAGTTTTGTGATGAAATTGAACGAAATTTCAATTTCATAAACGATGATATTTATTTCAAAATACTGCAATATTATTTCGTTAGCTGATTTTGAAGATATGATATAATATTTCGCTTAATACTTATGCAGGTCGTTTTTCATGTTTAACTTTAACCTGATTATATCAGAAAAAAAAGGAATTTCGGCAAATTTGCTATTCATTTTAAGAAAAAGTATAAAATTAATATGAAATAAAAATGTGGGAAATTCTATTTCACGGTATATCAAAATTTGTTTTTATAACATTTCCGATTAACTTTAAGATGATTTAAAGTAAATTATGTAGAAATGTATGAAAGATGTTGTATGCAATGACGTGCCGTACACTTAAACGTTACGTCATTATCCAATTTGGTTGTATGTTATTTTACTAGGGGGTTTTACAATAATTTTCGCTGGCTTCGTTGTTTGATCCATTTTAACGACATTTTGCGTACATCTGCAGAATTATCCAAAGCTGCCGTTAATTAGGTTGATGTTATGACCCATTTCTTAAGTTTTAAAATAATATGAGTTAATTGGCCATTGTGTCCTATTAGAAAAACGCCAACAGTAAATTTGATACGGAGAAGAAAACTGATATCTCAATAACAGAACCTTAGATAATTATGTACATGTAAATACTACTAGCAAGAACAACGTGTAATTTTCTGGCAGGGCGTAAAGTCTTAAATTTGATGTCAAACAAATTCATTTGTTGTGTCATTTCGTCCGTCCTGTCTTTGGATTCAAGAGATCACATTACCCAACCTTGGCGCACCTGTTGCAAATATTTTTTAATTGAAAAAAATATGAAAGTATGTTAGAAAATGGTTGTTTTATAACGATTTAATCCCGATATAATTGTCATTCGACGAGTACCGCTTTGTGAAACTGTCCGTCGACCGACCTGATCCCTACCACTGAGATCTAGACAAGCCCTCATCCCCGAGTAATACTTTGTACATGTAGATTATGCAATGATTCAGTAGTTGAAAGGGAAAGCAACGGCAAGAAATCTAAAGTCGACGGATGTTATGTTTGAAGGTAACTAACGTTTAACTATCCGCTATCTTGTCGCTGTGATATTGTTGTGGTGCTTCTATTACGACACGTCGTAAGTCTGTCAATCTTTGGTGTTTTTTAGAGGATACACTTTTACTGTGTTGCATCCTTATAATAACAGTACCTACACAATTAATTGGCCTATGTTTGACTACTGATTCCGGTTCACTCCAAGAGTCCGCGGCATCTCCAAATCCAATAGCTTATTTATGTTTGAAAATCTTCAGTTACATGTAATATTTGTCCAGTGTTTTATTGTGCGCTATAATTATACGAATTGGAAATCATCGTTTTTGTGAAATAATAAAATCCTCACAATTAATATTTCCATGCCTAAAAATTCTACAATATTTAGTTATATCAGAGTTTTACAATGTACTTATTAATATTAAGTTGAACTGGTGAGTAAATACCCAGATAATAATACAAGTACTGTGACGGAATTAAAATCTAATTCCGTGGTACTGTCACATGTGCGATATTAGCTGTACATGTACTTGACAGTTGCTATATTTCTAATTCTAAATTGGCATAATATTGTTATGTATATATATATTTTAAATGTAACAGCCGGGTATTTTTTTACCTATAACTAGACAAATAACTAGTTGTAATACATTTGTTTTACAACAATTATGAAGCAAGTTTTTACAACTGATGCAAACGCGGAAGGAAGCCGGAGTACCCAGTCGGTCGGGCAGGTAACCCCTTACTTTTTCACGTCCGATCGGGTAATCGAACACCAGCCGCCTTGATGAAAGGCAAGTGCGCTATGAATCCACTGCGCCACCCAATCACCCGGTTGTAATGAAGCATATATGTTATAGACGTAAGCGCGTTTTGAGCTTCTCTTTAATACAGCACACACATTTATCTTTTGTGTCACTGCGTGTTATTTCGAATAGCCATAAATTTGAGGTTTTTGAAGTAATACTTACCATAACTTTAGTATGCATATACAATACCTACACCCATCTGTGTAGCCCAAAAACAAAAGATTCAAATATCCCTACTCTGCCGTTACCCCTCTCACTGATCCTGCCTTTATGGCTAAGAATCAGGTTCCTGGCTTCTCGCCCGATCCGATTAAGATTCCGTCTTTGACTGCCTTCGTTGGGTCTGAGGAACGGGATAGGTTGCTCTGTCCCTGTCGGGCGCTTATGCTTTACCTCGATAAAACCAGGGGGAGGTGGAGGTCCTCGATCTCGTCTGTTTTTGCCCATTAAGCAGGGTCAACTGGATATCTCCTCTCAGCAGTGTCTAGATGGATCTGTAAGGTACGGTAACGACCACTCGGATGATCAGGTTCGGGCGTTGTATAAGGTGAGAGCTCATGAGATCAGGGCCCTCCTCAATGGGTCCCCCTTTCAGGAGGTCATGCCCGCGGCTTTCTGGCGCGGACAGACTACCTTCACGGATTTTTATCTCCGGTCCCTGGCTTCTCATTCTGATGGATTGTATTCCCTTGGACCGGTGGTAGTCGCACAGTCTGTGGCTGTTCCTCCACAGTAATTCAGTGATTTTAAATAGTATGCTATCAGACACCACGGTGGTACACCTGCTCGTTTCACGGGGAGGTTTTCCATCTTTTAATTACTTTCGGGGCTTTATTAGGGGGGTTCCTTGAACCTTTTCCCTACCTTGAGCATGTCTCGAGTTTGTTCCGTCAGCCTGGTCTGCCTGGATTCGAAGCCTCCACTACAGTAAGACGAATTCGCATACTAAAGTTATGGAAATTATTACTGAAATGAAATTAAGGTTTTTGAAGTAAAACCAATTTTCATGATGTAATACTTACCATAGTTTTATGGAGTCCCACCCTGTATTCCTCCCCCTGCCTCCTCATCCCGGCTGCCTTAAGGCTCCATAAAAGGGGGTTTGAGGAAGGGAGATCACTCCGTGGCTCTGTCGTCGAGATATGGGTTACGTCACGGTAGGGAGGTAGGGATATTTGAATCTTTTGTTTTTGGGCTACAAAGATGGGTGTAGGTATTGTTTATGCATACTAAAGTTATGGTAAATATTACTGAAATGAAATTGCCTGTTTGCCAACATTTTGAAATTTCTATGCGGGTGATTACGGGTGCTTGGAATTGAAAGCATCAATAAAATGTGTGTATGTACACCACAAGGTGGACAATGACACTTTAAGTGGCATATTTTGAGTTGTTCTTTCAGATGAAATCATCAGATAATAGAAAATAGGAATAGTTGAAAATGCTGAATTTCAGGGTTCAAAATCGGGAATCTCCATCCAAAATAGGGAGAGTTGGCAAGTATTGATTTGTAGAATATGATATGTTTCTTCATCATTTCATTCATATTGTTAATACATGTAAAAATTATACAGTTGCTATGACATGACATCAAAAGAAAAGGCGGCCCGGGCGGTTCAAATACATCTACCCAGCTCTACCGGGCTCTCCGGGTTCTACGGGGTTCTAGTTAGTTGAACTACTGACACTAGAGAGCTCCACTTCTGAAAGTTCTGGCCACCTCATAAATGGAAATATTTCTATGAGAATCGCCATATGTTAAGCCTAAAGAAATCATTGAATGGTTAATATTGTAACCGCATGCATCTTGCACACAGGGTTGGCCGTCCTTAAAGAATGACCATACATGTTGATAGGACGTTAAACAATACCAAACCAAACCAAACTGTAAAGCGCTTTAAGGTTGCTTATTGTAGCTTGATAGGGCGCTACATTAAATGTTGTATATTATTATTTTTGTTACACTAGCCTAATCCTATTAAAAAATCAGCGTGTTAAACACTTTTACCAGTCAACAACGTATCCCCGATAGTGTAGCAGAAACCACTGTTTTATAATATACTAGTAACATATGAAACATCAAACACACATAGTACACACATGGAGGAAAATCCTTGAGTTACCTTACTTGTCAATAGGACGGTAAACCAACTACTCTTAACATACTCACTGTTTACATATCGGTAGAAGGAGGTCAGTACCTATTTATAGCACCATTGCAGTTCACAGCATCTCACCTTGTACAATATGTTCCATTTTTGTTAGTTTGTTAACAATCTGAAACTTTAGCCGTGTGCTGGTCATTTCACTCTGTAATATGCATTAACTTGACATAAATGTTACCTTGATATGTATTGTATGTCTAATTGTTTAATTAATCTAACATTAATGTCGTAATTGTCGCGCAATTCTAAGGAAAACTCAAGTGTAAATTACCTTTCGCAATGAATGTGAAATAATTATATACATCAATGTCAACATGCCTGTGAAGCTAGGCAGACGTTGGTTTTTACATGTATTCGCATTGATGGCGACATTTAACAACTTTGCATATATTATAGCGTTGTGGAATGACCAACTAAACGTTTTAGAATATGAATAAAAAGAAAATATCGCAGTTATTTAATACATTATCTAATATCATGCATATTGTTATATATGACTAAGACATATTTACACTGACTTATATTTAAATAAAATGAAGATAATTCGACAAAACGAAACCGCGCCCAGGTGCAGCATATCCCCCTTAAACAAGAGGCTCACATGACCTGTATCGCTAACCTGGATATGTTTAAGTTACTTGATTTGAGGTTAAGATATAGCAATCCATGGTCGGTCATTCATGTACATTTCAAATTTCAGAAAGATCCATCCAGTATGTCTGGTGATATATAGAGAACAAACTTAAAAGGTCAAAATCCAAAATGGCTGCCTGGTAGCCATTATGTTCCAATGATTACACCCTTATAATAACAGGCACTACAAAACAATTTGATGGATACAAAATTGGAACAAAATTCCGTAATCTGTATGGTATATTTCCCCTAATGGACCTTACCCACCTTTTATACAAAATGGCATTCCCTTGGCCCAAAGATGCTCCAGACCAAATTTAGTAAAAATATACAAAACCGTTCATGATAAGTAGCGTTCTAAAGAAAGAGTTGACGGACGACAGAAGCTACCCATGGCATAAGCTCGCTTACCCTAAATATGCTATTGACCCATCATTGGAATTGTGAACGAGAAGGGCGGAAAACTCGCACAGAAATATGTACAAACTGTTTTTTAATATCTTTATGTTGATGTGCTAGATATTCAATGCATATGAAGTGCAGATTTTGTAGTCATATATTAAGAAGTTACATTAAAGCTAGTACCTTTTTGGTGGAAGTCTATCATGTGTATTCAAATGAATGACGTTCGCCCATATCAGAAACCGCAAGGATCACTGTCTTAAAATAATATAAACATATTCCAAGGGTGATGATACATGGCCAGTAGCATGCAGCGGTGAAGGGCTACAGAGTTTTGACGTTTCCCATATTCAAGGTCACTGGGGTTAAACATGTTCAAAACGTCTGTAAAATGTCATAAATGCGCTGTAAACGTTAAACCAACTTATTCTAAATAACCAAAATGCCCAGGATGATGGTAAAGGACGAGTAACATTTTCAGGCAAAGAGGGTTAGTCCAAATGAATGACATTCACCCATACTTAAGGTCACCGGAGTCAAATGTGTTCAACATATTCAAACAACTTCTTCTGAATTAACACAGTACATATAGATGTTCAGCTCGATAGATAAAGAAACCATTACTGATGGAGGACTGGATTGCCTTACAATTGAATTATAACGTTGATTTCGCTACCCATGCGAATATTTTGTTTCTAAATGTTACTGTATTGTATATACATGTATGTATGGTTTCTGCGTCTTGAGTTAAATAGTTATATTATATAACACTTGTGTTGCTTTCATGCAGAGATTCTTTGAAATTTGTAAAAAACATATTGAAATGGCCTTTTCTAAAAGACACCTATTGCCATGAACCATATCATAACGTGTGTCGGTGTCCGAACCGTGATTTACCCTTAGCCAGGTTTGGTTTGGTTTGGTTTGGTTTGATTTGATTAAGCACTGTTTAACGCCCTAACAGCTATAGTCATTTAGGACGGCCTTCCATGTATGCATGTAGTGTATGCGTGTGTGTTTTGGGAGGGTGCGATAGTTCGTGTTTATCTCCTTATGATAGCGCGGAACTGATGCCGACTTTATAGTGCTACCTCACTGAAACATACTGCCGAAGACACCCAGCAGGACACCCCACCCGGTCACATTATACTGACAACGGAAGAACCAGTCGTCCCACTCCTAAATTACTGAGCATATACATATTTAGAAATAGCATTTATGTTTACCATTGATGTAAATTGAAACCAACTTAGTACTGTCAGTTATTATAAAACACTTAATACCAGTTTGCTGCTTTAGTTATGACTATTTACATGTTTACATGCCGATATGTGGAGAGATACATTCCTGTAGTCTTCAGTAATTCTGTATACAGCCGTTATGTGCCCTTCACTGCTTCAGATTCATTCAACAACTGTGCGTGTGTACCATTCTGGTCGTTGCTCGGGTATCGTCTCATTTCTTACAGTTACATATGTACCACAACAAATTATTGCAGATGTCGTCTAGATCTGGAACAACATGACAATTGTGTAAGTACATTTAACTGGTACCTAAAAGATTAATACAACTCAATATTACATTTACTGTTTATGTACTTTCAATGTTCTGTCAAATCTTTGTGTTATATAATGTATCATTGCATATGTAGACTGGGAAATAAAAGTATATGTACATATATCCTAATTAAGTTATAGAAGGTCTATGAACTTGACAGATAAATTCCTGTAATCTTCAACTAAATGATCAACTTCATAACAGTCTTCATATCCATCATATAAAATGCTATATACAGCTAATATGTGTCCGTCAGTGTCTTGGATACATTCAAGGACTGTGCCTGAATACCATTCTTTCCCTTGTTCGGTTATGGCTTACACGCCGATCAACAAAGCACCAGGAGTGTTAAGGGTTATTTTAAGAGTTATATTCGTTATCGAGAATACATCAAGTACGCAAATATGTATATAAAATAGTATCAAATTCATTCGACAACTTGTTTAGGAGATATGGCATTACAATGAGACAACAACACGTATTTTCATGATAAAATGCGTGAATATCGTCTGTTGTGCTCTATTTGGTTGAAAATTCGCGAGTTTGAAGGAAATTAACTAATCATTTTACATTTTTTGAAATCCTGCGCATACCAATCTTCGACATGCTTAACAGTGTTCATTTGTAGAAAGGAATTTTTGTTTGTCATATGTGGAGGCTTTGATTTCTGCATGCTAACTGCCTAAAAAAACATATTTTGGCTATTTTTGCAAAGCAACGTAATTGTGTTGCTATGGTAGGGCATCTACAAATGCGCGTTGGAAAAAAATGCACCAAGAAAAGATAGCCCCAATAAACCAATATGATGCTTATAATAGAAAATGGTAAATAAATTCAAGTTGAATATTTCACTTTGTATGAGGCCAAAAATGACCCGTAACGCCTCAAGTCCTTTCTAAACACGTTGTCTGGATGTGGAACAACAAGACACTTTTCAGGATACAAAGCTGAAACATGTTCCAAATATGTATAATATAATAAAAATGACCTGTCGATACTGATAGCTTGTGGTTATGTTTAGATTTGTTTGTTTGCAACTTGGAGTAATATATAAAAAAACTACTTTGAATAAGCCATGGAACAATATATTGGCAAACTATGTATACTACGCAGTGCAGTAACTGGCAACATGATGCCACTGGTAATTAATTAGATGATGTTTACTGTCATTTTCCGGAATAACCTCTGAACAACAAATGATGTCCTGGATTGGGCAGCTATACATCTGTTGAAATCAGCTGTGCTGCAGGTATGTAAAAGTACTTTTGCCTACCTGTTTTTGCAATGGAGACGTATCATTTGATGGGCCAGTGGTACACTCCTGTGCTGAATATTGAGATTCTCCGTTTGCTGGCAGATTCGTTAGTGTACCAAAGATTATTTGGGAACAAATAAATTGATTCATTTCATTACACATGCAATTAATTCATGTGATATTCATGTGAAAAGAAAAACGAATTTCATTCACATGTAAAATTCAAAGCAAAACATTACCTTGTGAATTATTTTTTTAAATGATGCCTAGGTTATAGTCCAAATGATATTTTTTCAATGAGAATTTGATACATGTTTTAGAGGTTATTTTACATTTCGTGTTCACATGAAATTCACGTGAAAATTATCACATTTTTTTAATGAATTTAATATCCTTTTTAGTTTGATGAGTCCCATTATTGAGATAAATTAATTATTAGAGTCAGTCCACACAGAAAGCATTAACTCAGCACTCAGACAATTCACTCCCAAATATCACGGACATTGCATGGTAGTGAAATTACCAGATGTCATGTACAACCTAAAGCATGTACTTACTTGGTTTTGGAAAAAGGTGATGCATTTGATGGGCAAGCAATGTACTTGTATGGTGATGCATTATCAAGAGCTTGGGGCCTGTACACATAGTATTATGTAAAACTATATTCCTTTAGCTTATTTAAAATTTCAAGTGAAGTTGACACTGTACAATCCACCTTACTTGTATTTCACTCATCAGCTTAAAAATCACCATGATCAGTTGATGTCAAGAATACAAGTCTTCCCACAACAATATGGTTCATTGTGACCTTGAATATAAGTCAAGATCATTCATTTTAATAACTTCGTAGCCCTTCATCCAACATTGCTACTGGCCAAATACCATCACCTTAGCTAGGCCTCTTGATTATTCAGACCACAGTCTTACCCAAACACCTGGCTCTCGAATGCCTGGGGAGAGTCCTTTCCTGGATGCTAGAAGTTCATGGAGTATAACTTGGTAATAAAATGAATAAGTTTGGGTACCATTTGTTGGTATGGTTTGTTCATCCATGCTGAATTACGAATGTTCATCTGGCCCTGACACTGGTAATAAAACGCATGTTGTTTTTTCAGCTGCAATTTGCCATTTACAATTTCCAGGCAGAACGATTTTTGTAAATTGGCAGCCTCCTCAAATTGATTGGTTTGTTAAGGAGACGATTCTTCATTTCCAGAAGTCCCCTACATCCAGTAACATCTCTAACTATCGCATCTGGAGTGACTGCTAGTGAAGGGTGT